GTGTGTGTGTGTGTGTGTGTGTGTGTGTTGGCTGCTGTCAGTGGACTCACTACGCCTTTCTCCACCACCTCCTTCAGCTTAGATCGAGTCATTTTGGGCTCCTGCAGAAAAGAAAGAAAGTCTGTAAGCAGGGTCAGGACTCACATGATGGCAGTGAATGATTGATTTTGATTGGATGATAGACTCACAAATGGAGGGACAGCCTCAGTCTCATTAATGGCAGCTTTCATCATGGCCACCACATGCTCATTGGTGATCACTTCCTGTGGGTCAAAGGCCAACGTTTAAACTGTAAGTTTCCCATATTCTTGTTGAAAGCCTTTGAGTTTGTTACACTTCATATCTTTAAAAGAGATCAGAGTAACCTCAGAGAACTGAATGTACTAAAGACTGTCAAAGACTGACAGTATTCTTTAATAAGCCGTTACCATCTAACAGGCATCCTACTCCAAATCATTAAAGGGTAAGTCACATGACACTTCATGGACAAATACTTCAAATTAAACTGCTTCAAAGACAGTAGGCTTAAAAACCTGAATGCAATCAAAAATCGTGATCACACCCTCTCCCTCTCCAGGCGTGTGGGTGGAGGCACTCACGTGGATGATGTTTTTCACGTTCACTGTGGTCAGGTTGTGCTGTTTGGACTTTGTCTCCAGTGACTGATCCAGCTGTCTGTCAATCTCCACCTCCACTCCTGCCTCCTCCTCGCTCTCTGAGGCCCCATCCCTTGGCTCCTCCTCCTCAGCCAGTTTCCTCTTCCTCCTTCTGGCGGCCTTCTTCTTGGCAGCCTTCATCTCCTCCTGGCTGTCCTCTGATGGAGAGATCGGTCCATCAGAGACACAGGTCCTCACAAAGCCACCAGCGTATGTGCATGTGTGCATTACCCATGGTGATGACGAGTCTGGAGTCAGTGGTGTCTTCCTCCGCCAGCTGGTAACGCTGCTCCTCCTCCTTCTCCTGTAGCAAAGCATCATGGGAGGCGAACTGCAGCTGTGTAGTAGCAGTGACAGCAGGAGCTGGGCCGGACAGGCTGAGTTTAAGACACTTTCGGCCCGAGTTCATCGTGCAGAAACATGACCTCTGAAACAGTGACATCAGACTCAAACACTTATACAGATTAGAATAAAAAGTATTGAAGGGACACCCAAGCTGTAACTCCTGCCCCTCAGCAGGCTTCCAAAAGTTGACCAATCACAGCAAACAAGATCAGAAGATCAATAACAGTTGTTTTCGAACTGAGCCCCAGAAGGAGACCCCGGTGCAGGCAAGCAGGGTGGACCTCCTTTAGCAAATCTAAAAGGTTATCTGCTTCTTTTCGCAGCTCCTGTCGGTGTGAACATGCTGTTAAAGACCGAGAGACATGAGACCTGAACCAGCAGAGGAATGGGCAGACAAGGAACCAGTAGCCACCGTGCTAAACTACCTGAATTCACCTGTGTTTACCTGCTAGCCGTTTCGGCTCTTCGTCCCGCCTCCCGCCGGCTAGCTGCTAACGTTAGCCCCAGAGGTCCGTGGGCCGCGGGGGTGATCCAGCTCAAGAGTGCACGGGGCAGCAGGCCTTATTGTCCGTTCTCGGTACCCACACGATAACGGGCATGGTCTGGTGCAGCACAGACTAACTTACCGCCACAACGTCAGACGAGTCTGCCTCCAAAAACTACATTTCCGGCGCCCTCACTGTGACGTGTGGAGCGGCGTAATTCTTCTTCTTCAGTTTCATGGCGGTTGGCAAACAAATTCTAGGTGCATTAGCGCCACGTACTAATGTACGTGTAATTTTTATCAGAACCTACAGTACCACTGTTATTTTCTTCCTGTCTCTTTCAAAAATGTAAAAATATCAGCAAAAAACTATGCTCCCCGAGTCTCTTTGAAATCATTCCCTTCTCCTTAAATTATTCTTGTTCTTATGAATGTAACAAGTGTCACCTGGCAGTTCGCTGCTCTCTGCCAGGTGATTAGCAGAGGAGCTTTGAAAAGGTAGTGGGTGTGAGGGGTGAGGTTAGCGCTCTTCTCATACCTTCGTTCATACCGTTCAGGTGATTAACTCACTCGGGTGCGAGTGGGTATATAGTTCGGTAAGAAACTTTTGCCATTTTGTTTGGATCAATTATTATTGTAGGTGCCCATTTTTAATGCGTGTTGTTGGACTAGTTTTGAGTTTTAATGGAGGAATTGATCAAGGTCTAGATCGACAGCGCACAGGGAAACCGATCAATAGGTATGTTGAGTGTTTGTTTTAAGTTTTGTGATTTTTGAATGGTTTAATAAAACTAATATTTTATTGGGTAACATTTTAATCGATAATGTTGTTTGTGTTTTTCAGCTGTTGTTGTGCTGTCTCTGCTGTCATTTTTTTCATTCTCTTGATTGATTTGTAATTTTGTTTTGGTTAGTA